TGTGTTTTCTCAAAGAAGAAGAAATGCTTCCTCTGCCTTTGGACCTGAGACCGTGGATCAACTCTTGCAGAAGTTGCTAGCCTGCCAGCTTTCCCTGCAGATTTCAGACTTGGCAGCTTCTACAATCGTGTGAACTGATTCCTTAATATTTCTCTGTCTCTATCTACCTCCCGATCCATACACACACCATCAGACACACACACTTCCCATTGGTCTAGTTCTGCTGCTGCTGCTAAGTCGCTTCATTTGTGTCCAACTCTGTGCGACCCCATAGACGGCAGCCACCAGGCTCCCCTGTCCCTGGGATTCTCGAGGCAAGAACACTGGAGTGGGTTGCCATTTCCTTCTCTAGTTCTGGTTCTCTGGAAAACCTTGAATAAGACACCTGAAACCAGCAGGGATGGAGGTCCTCAGATATCCAGAGGGGAAACAGGAAGGACCCTCCCCCCAGGTCTGCTGAGCGCTGCGTTCCCGCTCCTCCTCCGCTTCCTCTGGGACTTGGTCCCCGGAAACGCCCTCTGCTTCCAGCCTATTGCCCCTCTCTGTTACCCCTGCCTTGGGCCTGGGAGTTGGCCGGCCCTCGGCTCTCGGAGTGTCTATTCCTATGAAGTCCCTGACACTTTTGGACCCTGATCGTAGTGAGGTTTTCTGGCAGCCATCTCCTGACTCTGTGGGCACGTGGACTCTGTCTGTGGATTTAGCACATGCAGATTTGGTTTGATCCATTCCCCTCTTCCCCTCTGCATTTACCTGGAGTTTATTTACCGGCTGGCTCCTAAGTGGTTCTGCCTTTGGATAAAGCCTTAATTCATCTCCTGTTTTCCTTGGTCAGCATCCATGCCTAGTTTTCTAAGGGCTTTACTCTTGGGCACCAACTTTTATTGCTGAAATCTATGAGCATTAATTCTGCTTCTTCCCACAGCCAGACAGAGACCCTCAGAGCCTCCGGACTCTGGACAGCCTGCTGGAGTGCCTGTGAAGGGAGGGTGGATGGTTAATTCTCTCTTTCTTTCTCTCTCATTTACCTATTGCAATATTTATGGAGTTCATTATATACGTTATCTTATTTAACCTTTGCAAAACCCTTATTTAATATAGATAATCCCCATTTTATAGATTTGAAAACTGATATGCAGCAAGGCTATGTGACTTGCCCCGGGTCATGCATCTTGGGAATGGAATTTAAGCCGAGGCAATCTGAATCCAAGGCCTGTGCTCTTAGCCAGGGATACATGAAAACTTGCCGTTAGAAAAGAGGGGAGAGTGAGGAATAAAAGAGTTAGCGGCATAAAGCGAAGTGAGGAATAAGATAAATATTATAATAGGATGCAGAAAATCCTGCCCATGTGCTACCAGGGGGCCATGGACTTAGCTCCCAGTTCCTAGCAGCTGACACTCGCTGAGCAGGGAGATTTGGCAGCACATGGTGTCGCCCTAATCAAGCACAGACCCCCAGCAGCGCCCACTTTCCTAAAATCTTGTGAGCGGCTTATCATGAAGGGTTACCCTCAAACCAAAGGACTCAGCTCTCTGAGAATCCTAGGGCTGCAGCTGACACCCTTATTTTGCACTTGTGGTAAAAATGAGATCTAATCCCCACTAAGAAAAAGGATGAGTCTTTCTGTCTTAGAATAGTGATGAGTGTTGATACTAGATTGCAAAGTCTGAGAAAGGTCGCAACTTTAAGACTTAGTTTTGTTCCCCTTTGTCTAGCAGAGCCGGGTTTAGTGTTGTTCTCACTTCAAGTGATGGATAGACAGGGATTGCATTGAGCAATTGTGGCTAGTAATGGATGCTGAAGAGTGCGCTCATAGCACTTGCCTGTTACAAGGCCACAGATCAAGTCCTGGGAAGACTCTCAAGTATTAAATGGTTCTAGAGTGAATGGAAGGCAGTGTTGTACAGTGGAAAGAGCAGAGTAGCTGTGTGACCTTAAACAAATCCTTTAACTTCTCTGCTCCTCAGACTATAAAAATGGAATCTGCCTATCACAGGAGACTGAGCAACCCTGAAAGAGAGGATGCTTCAGTGTCTGCAATAAGGAGGTGGTTCACAGCACCCTATCATTTCATCGTTCATCATTCAGAACTTTCTGATCGGGCACCTGCTATAAGTCCATCTGGTGCGCCCTGTGCTCTGTCCTGGGACAACCATGAGCAGGACAGACAGATGCCTGGTGGATTCCCTCCTCCACGATTTCCTCCTTCCCTGAGGATAGTAGTTCCTGCAGCAGATATTTAATAACAGCGGTGCCTCAGGTTCAAGTTGCTGAGGGGAGACATGGGGGGTGGCGTGGAAAGAAGATTGGAGAAAGTCTGGGGTACAAGACTCCTTGCAGAGAAATGGCCTCCTCCATCCAGCCCATATGGGCCTGTATCCCAGCCCAGCGGACCCCAGGGTCCCCAGGCGGCAGTGGCGGAAGGCGGTCTCATCTAACTGCCCCACACCGCCGAGCCTCCAGGAGCTGGCTGGGGCCACGCCAGTGCTTCTGCTGAGGAAGGATTATAGCTTTGTCAGTGCGGTGAAGCAGAGTGCCTCCAGCGCTCAAGGTCTGCGTTTAGAAGGGAAGCGGAGGATGGTTTAACGTTAGCCAAACAGCCTGCTGCACTCACAACAAAACCCTGCGTGCAATTGAAAGCGATGCACTAATTACACACAGGCCTGGGCGACGTGATCTCTCGGCTCTCCAGGCAGTTGTGCTTGCATTTCCTCACCCTCAGGACCAGCACTGGCATCTCTCCACTCTCGCCAGGAGCGAGTGTGTGCATGTGTGTGTGTGTGTGTGCAGCCCCTAAACTCAGAGGCTGCAGAATAGGCACTGAAATATCTTCATAGGAATTGTCTCTCCGAATCTACAATAATCCCATAACTCTAGCATGCTCTAGATTTATCAACATGCATTTGTTGATGTGATTTTGTTTTTCAAAATCATTGTGAAATCATTTAAAAAAATTTTTTGAAATCAAAATTTCCTGGGCCCCATTCCTACATGCATGGTCTGTCCATATAAAACTGGGCTGTCCCCGAGATCAGGGTCTGTGTCTCCCCTGTCTGGCTGGTCACCCTGAGGGCAGGGGCTGTCTCTGCCATCAGACTGGAAACTCTCTGAAGGTGAGGGCTGTGTCTTATCCTTAAAGGTCCTCCCCTCTTGGTGCTAGGGGTGAGGCTGTGGGCCCAGACACAGTTCTGATCTCATGGCGGGGGAGAGCGGTGGTTTCCTGGCATGCTCAGTTGAGATGTCAAATTGACGAGTTATCCTCATCTGCTCCTTTTAGCAGCTGAGAGTGGAAGTGTCACCCACACACTCTGGAACACGAGAAAGCAAAATAGAGAAAGAGGTGGATGGGACAGGGCACCCTCAGGACAGGCCAAACTTCAGCTGCCTACCTGTAGGCCTCTTTGCCTCTGGACTCCACGCCAGCCTGAACTGCTTTAACCCCAGGCCGCTCCCCTGGGCTGGATCTAAAAGTACACGTTATCTGTCTTCTTTCCCTTGATCCACCCTTAATCCTGCAACTGAGAATAAAAAAAAAAAAAAAACAGCCCATAAAATTCCTCCGTGGCCCTGAGACCCTCCTTTTTCGGAATCCTTATGATTCTTAGGCTGATGAGGGCAAAGGTTATGTCTTTCTCATTTCATGTTTCATCCCCCAGCACTTACCACAACGCCGGGCTATGGTAGGTGCTTAAAATGTTTAATACAAAGAAATGAATGCAATTTTCAGGAAGCACTGGGTGGATTTCCTCCTTTGGAGATCTCTTTCACCACTAGGAAAGTACCTCAATCTCAGATCTGCACTGTCAGCCTCTTGATGGAGAAAAGCAATGTTCTGGGTCTTGGGGCTAGGGGGCAGTGTTCACCTATGGGTACAATCCAGAGTGTGTGTGTGTGTGTGTGTGTGTGTGTTGACATTGATAACTGGACATTCATAAGCTCCAGCTCCAGAGAGAATTCTAGGAGTCCCTCAAAACAACTTAGCTCATCTTCCCACGAGCAACTTAAATATGCCCTTGAAATGTTATTCTGCATACATGCTACCAAACAACCACGTTTCTTTGAGGATATAAGGTTTTTATCCAGTAAACTTTATTTATATATAACAACAGTACAAATTGTGTCCTTGGCTTGCAAAATAGGAGTGTTTCATATTTACAATAGGTACACAATAATATATTAGAATAACAAAAAACCCCATTTTATTGGAACATTTTAAATACGTAATTTTCTTACAGCTTTTATTCCACAACACCTGTAAAAACAACAAAACCAGACAGCTATTATTCTATTTTCTTAAAAATATATATATATATATAATACAGATTCCAGTGTCTCAAGAAGAGTGGTTTTGGGAAGGAGCAGTTGAGGGGAGAGGCAGGCGGGCTCAGGTCCCTAGTCTCGTGGTCTAAAGAGCTTGTCCCCCCGTCCCTGACACATCTGCTCTGCAGGGGGAACCATGTTCCAGCACGTTCTCCTGCCGTGATGCCGACATGGAGCGCACAGGAGGCCAGAGTCAGGGCTGTGACCGAAATCCGGATGGGCCTCCCTTCTCCTTGAGGCTGCAGCGCAAAGGACAGAGGGGAATGCAGTGACCATGTCCACCAAGACTCTCCAGTTTGCTGACGGGCTAAGGCCCTGTCTCCCAGGACCTCCTTAATACCAGGGGTGAAACTTCATCTCTCATCCATGACATCGTGGGCCCCAGAGGCTACACCTTTACTCTTGGGGAAACTGGCAGAAAGGGAAGAGGTTGGGGAAGACAGGCGGGGTGACGAAGAGGATGCTGCCACCTTCTCAAAGCTTCATCCTGAGACGAGGCACCAGAAGGCCCTGAACCCACGGGGTCCACTTCCACCGGCCCAGGTCCGCCAAACTCCTCTCACCCACAGAGCTCCCTCTCCTGAGTCTCAGTTCTTTCCCGTCCACGGCCAGGCCCCAGGAGCCTGAGTCAGGACACAGCGTGGCAAGGAACAGTGGGCCCCCCTTTGGGGCAGCTGCCGGCTCAGTATTTGCCGCGGGTTAACAGACTGAAGGTGGGAGAAGGGGACAACAGAGAATGAGACGGCTGGATGGCATCACCGACTCGATGGACATGAGTTTGAGCAAACTCTGGGAGTTGGTGATGGACAGGGAGGCCCGGCGTGCTGTGGTCCATGGGGTTGCGAGAATCGGACATGACTGAGCGACTGAACTGAACTGAGTGGGGGCAGGTGTGGCAACCAGGATGCGCCTGGAGGCTGATCAGCCAGAGGCTTCTAGAAACATTCCTTATTTGTGCTGCCCAGACCATCGCAGTCCAGCCCACCCCATCCATTGCTTCTGCTTTGTGCTCAGCAGGGCCAGGGGCCTTGACTATTATTTCTTGTCCTCATTTGGCATAAATGGAGGAAGGTCAGGAGCTCAAGCGGCAGGCAGAGGGCCACCAGAAGAGATGGCAGTGGTGGGGACAAGAAAGGCCCTTGTGGCTGGAGGACTGTCCCCGGAAGCAGGTAAGGCAGCTGGGTCAGTTGGCTTTCTTCCACCTTCCCGCTCCCCTTTCCTCCAAAACACGTGCCCTCTGCAGGTCTGGGAGGAGGGCTGAGGTGGTGCTAGGAGCCAGCAACTGGAAGAATGTCCGTGTGTTAGAAGGAGGTCCTTCTCAGTCTCGATCATTCCTCAGCATTTGGAGCAGGGCCTAGGGAACAGCCTTAGCTCAGGAACGCTCTCTGAATGAATGAATGCATGTAGGAAACAGCTCCATCCCGCGAGTGAGGCTCCCAGGGGCTCCTTGCTTTCAATGACTGAACTTTCCAAGGATGGGGAGTGCTCCGCCAGAAGTAGATCAGAGATGGTTCTGAGCTGGGTCGGAGCAGGGTGACAGGAGTGGGGGGTAGGCCTGGAAGCCCCAGAGCCCCTGAGGAGGTTGGGAGGCGGCAGCAGGCCAGCTGGAGGGGCTCAGGCCAGCTCGCCCATCTCGTGGCGAGCGTGGACACCCTCTGTCTTGCCAAGTGCATTTTCTAGGGTGCTTGCCCTTTTCTGGTTAACTGTCTCTTGCGCACTTCAGTGAAACAAGATGGATCTGGATCAAACTTTCAGAGAGAGCAGGCTCTCTCAGCTTCCCTCCAAGATGGATGGCTTTGTGTGGGGGCAGAGGTCGAGACTTGAACACTTATTCCTTACGCGAGGTTAGGGTATCTCCGCATTGGATGGCGGTGAGGAGGGAGGCCCTCTCCTCCCATCCCGCAGGGCATGGACTCTTGGTGACCCAAAGCCAAGCAAGGCTCTCCAACCTTTCATCCTCACGGCCTGACTTGAATCCTGTGTAGTTTTCCTTGATCTTCCTTCCTTCTTTAGGGATGCCTCCTGCCACCTCCTTCGCCAGCCCCCCTTCCCCAGTCCTACTGAGGAATCCTGAGAAAGGCGGTGGAGCCTCTCGCGTGAGCTCTGGTGCCTCTCCTGTCCACTCTCTGAGCGGCCATCCCCCTACCATTCTCCCACTCCCCCCCAGACCATCAAGGACGCAGCCCCAGGGGTGGTGAGTGGTCACCAAAGGTAGCTGCTGGGAAACAGTGGGTAGATGCACAGAGGTCAGTGTTGGTCATGATGCAGCTGAGATGTCTAGCTTTTACTTCTTGGTGGAGCAAAGCCCGAGGTGCCGGTCTAAGCAGCGGTGTGACCGGACCACCTTCATTTGGAGCTCGGAAGCAAATGAGGGGAGGGGCTGAACTCTTCTGCGGGCAGCACAGAGCCCTGGCAGCACAGAGCCCCCTGCTCACACTCCCCTTGCCAGTATCTCCTCGCCTTTCATCTTACATCGTGGGCTCTGAGCTGATAAGCTTTGGGTGCTACGAAGAGCAAACACTTTGGCTTAGTGCAGAAGGCCAGTCATTAGGATTTCTTTCAGCTATTAGCAGGGCCCAGAGAAACTTTTAGCAGAAGTGGATTATCAGAAGGAAGCAGTCCTGGCATGGCTGGTTGTGAATTATAATGAAAACAGCGCATTTCCTGAGTATTTTGCTGAATGCTTTTCTTGTCCTATTTGTCAGCCGCATTCAGGCAAGAAACCGGAGCTGAGGCGACCCGGTGATGTCTGCTGCGCGGTGAGCACAGCGATCCAAAGCCACACGCCAGCCGTGGGAGCCAGCCCTCTGAGCTCCCCCTCCCCCGGCCCCTTCCTGGCAATGCAGTGCGGTCAGCAGAGTCTCTGGAAACTGTAAGGGTCTGGGGGTAAATCCGGGCCCAGAGGAGCCGGGCCCAGAGCTAATTAGAGGAAGTGACCCTGGTCTGCTCTCTCCCCGCTCCCACTCCCCAGCATGGCAGCCCCTCACAGAGCAGGGCAGACGGGACCCCTCCAGCGGCCTCTCTTCCCATACCTCGCCTTCCTCTTGTCCTTCCCACTCCCTCCGCGGCTGCCTGCAGAGAACTTGGAGCTGGCTGCTTGGATCCGCGCCAGGGTGGGAGGCCTGGAAGCTGGTGGCTGTCCGATCATAGGGCCCTGCACCAGTGTTGGTGGGGGCGGTCCTTCCCCAGGATGCCCCCACTGCCTTCCTTGCGGCTTCTGGATCAGGGCATGGAGCTTTGGTCTCTTTGTCTGGAAACTACACTCAAGACGGCTGGGCATCCACGGATTTAGGTGTCAGCAGGAAAGACAGAAGCCCAGTGAGAAGCCACCCACTTGTCCTTCGAACTCATGAGGACGCGAGAGGCAGAGGGAGGGAGAGAGGCAGAAGACGCGGCCTGGGGATGCTACAGTCCTCTCTACTGCGGCCCCTGCTCAGGCCATCAGGAGCATCCACACACGAGTGAAGGGTCGTCTCCCCTCTCTAGGCACGAGAGAATAAAACAAAGAAAGCACAACAATAAATACTGCAGCTTCTTGAACCTATGCTCTTCAAGTATTGCTTGCTGTAAACAAGTGTTTGAATTTTGTTTTCTTTTTAATCATAAGAAACCATGGGCAGACTGGAGCAGAGTCTGAAAGCCCATGTCCCCCAGTCGGATCCCGAACGGGACCTCTGGAGGCCTGGCCCGCGATCCTCCAGGGCCCTGCCCCCGGGGAGCTTGGTTTACGACGGGGATGGATATAAGGCAGAGCTGCCCAGGGTCCTTCGGGAGACCAGGTGTCCCCTCTGGGAGAGGCCCAGCTCTCATGTCTGGTAGTCACTGTAGGGAAACCCAAAGGAAAAGTACCAAAATCAGCTCCTCGCTTGCTGAGGTTTGGGTTTAAAGAAACCAACCAAACAGGAGCAAGAAGCATCGGTGCTCTTGAGACGCACATGTCCACTGGAGAAGAGAACGTACGGGTGCGCGGATGTAAAGCTCAGCTTGCTGTCAGCAGGGTGGAGCCCAGTGGCTCTCCCGTTTGTGCAAAGTCCCACCTTCCCCACCTCTTCTGACTTCATTGGCCTGTCTTCCTTCGGACTGTTTGGTGTCAACTTGTGCTCATTCTTCTCCTCCTCACTCCTTAGACAAAGATTTCAAGGGCAAGGAAACAGTAATTTTCTCTCAGCATCTCTTTGTAGGCTTTTTTCCAGTTGTTGGGAACCAGGAGTTGTGTGAGGAAGGAGGGACGGGGGCAAAAGAAGGAAGGGGGACAGAAAGCAGAATTAAACCAAAGTTGGACGGGATGAACAGGGAGGCTTTTTGTTTTATTTCTGGTTTTCCTTTTTCTTAAAAAAAAAAAAATTAAATAAAGTTCTCATTATTTCCCCAATATACATCAAATGAGTTTTCATGCAAAGCAGCAGTCACAGAGGCAGAACCGTGTCCAGATGCGCCTCTCAGCTTGAAAAACCACCTTCTCCGTGCCCCTGCGTCCCTCTTGTCGTGGGTGTGATGCCCCTGGTCTCTCCCTGCAGGGACCAGCTGGGACGAAACTTGGCTGGCGTGGGGAGAGGGGCCCTCCCCTCTCCCCGGGGTTAGGGTCTCAGGGGACAGCAAGTTCTGGGGCCTGACCCCCTTCACTTGTCCTTCCTTCTGAGACGCCCAGTGTGACAGCGTTTGTGGGTCCCTCTTCCCAGGAATGGGAGGCTCCACCTCTCAGCTCTCAATGGACATGGCATGGATGAGCTGCTCCACCTTGTACGCCAGCCGCTGGCGCCGTGCCTGCTCGTCCTGCTCCAGCGCCCCGATGAGCTGAGGGACGAAAACAACGGTGGGGCAGGCTCAGCGCTCAGCATGCAGACTGCTTTCCCCACACCCTTCATCCTTCCATCTGCCTTTCCACCCTGCCCAACGGACACAACTCTAAACAATGCAGATGATTACCTGGACAGGTGTATGATATACGTATGTGTGTGTGTGCATGTATTTATCTAAAGCTTTTAAAACATTTGGCATACAGGAAGTGCTGTGTAGATGTTGGCTATTACTATGACTACCACTACTATTACTGTTTTCAGATACGTCACTGATACATGACTTGTTGTCCTGAAGTCATCCTCTTCAGGATCTAGCCACGTCCACCTGTCTGTCTGAAATAGTTCAGCTGACAGCTTCTGCCCAACTGCAAAGAATAGTCTGATCTGCTGTTTCAGAAGGGATGAAATTCATCATCTACTTTGAACTGGGCAACAATGACAACATTCAACAAAAGTACTACGTATTGCATTAACAATGAAGACGAGACAACACAAGGTGTAAGAAAGCACAGGATGAAGCGGGAGAGGACAGGTTGCCTTCCAAAGGAAGAGCGGGTGACTTTTTGACTCTGAGTGTTTTCGGGATTACCACCCACTGCTGCTGCTTGCGGATGGAACCCGGCTTTCTGGCTGACCTGCGGGGCCCCTCGGTGCGGGTTTCTGCCTCACCTCTTCACTGTACTTGCTGACGTACGAGTAGATCTCATTGAGGGCACTCAGCATGTTGAACTCCACGGCATGCAGGCGGGACTGCTCGGCGAGGTAGGCGTTCATGTCCTGGTCGCTGATGGCGGGGAGCTTGGCGATGTCTGCATAGTATCTGCCGGAGGGAGGACAGACTCCTTGGTGAGGGGCTCAGCAAAGGCTTGCCTATCCGTACCCTGACCCCAGGACCCCAGAGAGGATGGGTGTACCCAGGATGCTTCCCTGTTTCTCTTCTAATGAAGCTTGCTTTAACCTCTGCTCTCAAGCTGAGTTTGGGGCCTGGAGACTTGTTCTCCCTCAGCCCAGAGTCTGCAGTGCTGTGACCAGACTCTCAGTATTCACATTCCAGTTCAGCGCCCTGCTAGCTGTGTGTCCTTGGGTAAGTCACTTGGCATCTCTGCTTCAGTGGCCTCCTCAGTGAAAAGGGGATGCCAATAAGGCCTACTTCACAGCTCTGCTGGGTATTTTAGTAAGACGATACATACAATGTCTTCATCAAAGTGCTGGCTGCTTAGCATGTGCTCGGTAAAGGGTGATCAGAATGCTAAATCGGACTCAGAGGGTGCAAAGCTCCCCTTTCCTCCCCCAGCAGGAACTCTGGGCAAGGGAGAAAAAGATGAGCTTGAGATCTGGAAGGGACCACAAGCATGGCTTTGAGTCCTTGGTCAGTGGTGCCCAGAGGAGGGAATGAAGCAGGTACTGGGGGCTGGGCCGGTCCTCGGGATGCTACTGACCTCTCCACCCAGCTCTTGTAGCTGGGGATGTCCTTGGCATAGAGCAGCTTGTTGGAAGGGGAGTCCTTGCCCAGCCGGTGCTCTGAGGTCGAGCAAGAGTCCATGAAGGTCTGGGCCACCACGGAGAGGCAGGCGTCCGTGATGCTGCCCTTGTGGATGTCAAACACAAACTGGGGGTTCTTGATCACGTTCACCCAGAAGCGCAGAGGGAGGCTGGAGGAGAGGGCAGAGGGGTCTCTGAGGGCTGCATCCGGGCCCGGCCCCGTGCCGTCCACTAACGTTCCTCCCAACCCCACCAGTGCACAATTTTCTCCCAAGGGCGAGGGAATGGAATCACCGAAAACCGGTCCAGCCAGGGCTGCTAATTTAGCCTGAGCTTTGACTGACACTGGAAGAGAAGGAGCCCCACTGTGCCCTAACGGGGCACTGACCTCGTCCTTCAACAGCTCCGAGGCGGGCGTGGGCGGCTTGGCTCCCTCCTGGAGGTCTTTGCCAAAGACCCCTGTGCCCCCGGGGGAACCCAAGCCCAGAGGGCCTGCAGCGCTTTCTCAGAGCCTCAGACAAAGCCCCCAGGCTCCCAGAGGCCCCTTCCTGGTGCCCGCGGCCATTGTCGGGAAGGACGGGGCGGCAGCCCCAGCCTCGGAGTGGGCACAAAGGCCCCACCTGGGTTCCCCGCCCAGCCGGGCCAGCCGGCTGCTTCCCAGGGCTGGCCCTGCCGGGCTGGGCGGAGGAATGGGCGCCCCTGGGGGGCAGCTCTTTCAGGGCGCTCCCCAGGGCGTTCTCGGCTCTGGGCAGGGGCAGAGGCAGAAGAGGAGGCCATTGTTGGCACGCTGGGAATGAGTCGCTGGGGCTCCGAGTTTTTCCCACCCCGAGAGCAACTCATCAGTTGTTAGGAGAATTCTTTCTGTGAC